ATGCAGAGCAAAAGCGTAGCTTTTTCTGTTTTGCAGGGTGGCTTTCTCTCAAAACAGTTCTTGGAATTGTAGTTCTCTGATGTAGTGAAAGAGATCACTGTGTCTGGTCACATGGGATTCCTCTAGTTTGTGGCTGAAATGCTGCTCTTTTTTTCCTTTCAAACTAGTGACTGATTCACTCTTATCAGACATATAGCATAGGTGCACAATATACAGTTACCCTGAGGTTGCTGAACACATCTATCACTTTCCTTCACGGTTGATTATTGTCTCCTAATTGGCCCTAAGTCACCCTAAGTCAGCTTTTATTCCTAAGGCAGGACTGCTTTGTAATGCAATCTTGAGCAGTAGATTAAGCTACAGCCACATCACCTCTCCTCATTAACAGTGTAGAATCTCAGTAGGAAAAAAAAGCTTTCTAAAATATAATGGTGTATTGGGCTGCTTTGGATAATCAGTTTGACAGGGCTGTGACTTTTCTTTCAGTCGTTCCTTGCTAAGCAGCCGGCAACTCCTACCAGAGCTTCTGTAAGTACATAGTTAACATTTATATTATGTTCCATAAGACAGTATAATCAGATACGAGAGAAGAAAATATTAAGAGTAACCCACAATTGAACGTCTTGGGAATGTGAATTTTTGTTGACAAAACGATTGCACTGCAGCAAGTAAAATTTGTATTTGATTACTGGCTTCAATTTGTTGTTGTATGCAGCTTTCAAAAATCATAACTCAGGCAGGTATTTTTTAAAAAAAAGGTGATCTCGGTAAACCACATCCTGTTTGCCTTTTATTCTTCTCCAGGAATCTCCAGCTCGTGGTCCTTCTGGCTCACCCAGGCCGCAAGGCAGGACAGGCCCTGCCGCCGTCCCCAGCGCCTCGCCAATAGCATCCGTCAAGAAACCAGATCCGGCTATTAAAAGTATGCAGTTCACCTTAGAATGTTTGTTTTGCTTTGAACTTTTCCCTGGGTGTAGCATTTTATGGTCTATTGGTTGAAAGGCTATGTTGATGTTTGGAAAGTTTTTTTGTGAAGTGCCATATTGTTCCTTAGCAGGTTCAACGAATGAAATTTGCCATTGCAAAAAAAAATGTTGAAGAATCTCTTAAATGTAATTTCTTTTTTTTAAAAAAAAAATATGCCTTTTAATTATAGCATAAAAAAACCCCAAGTCTCACCTCTGGTTTTAATACTACAGTGGATATGAGATTTAATAAGTGGAGGTGTATGTTCATAATAAATCCATGCCCAAGCAAGAAGATAAAAATATTTTAGAAAAGCTAAGATGTTTTAGGAACAGCAGTGGATCTATAGCTAAAAAAGGCAGCAAACATCCTCCCCCCACCGTATCTAAGCTTATGTTACTCAAATACATGGTTACCCACTAAAACTCTAGTAAAATAGTATGCTTTGATGAAGATATTATAATTTTATTTGAAAGCCAGTATAATCTAGTCATCAAAGTGCTGGGCTAGAGATTACAGGAACCAAGTTCTAGACTTCCCTTAGGCCCGGAAGCCATCTGGGTGATCTTGGACCAGCTATGCCAGTGGTGGCGAACCTATGGCACGGGTGCCAGAGGCGGCACTCAGAGCCCTCTCTGTGGGCACGCGTGCTGTCACCCGAGTCCTAGGCCTTCAGCTGGGTTTTATAAAATCTTTTCGCTTTAGGCCTCCGCCGCTATGTGCAAAAAAAAAAAAAAAAAGATTCAGTCAATTTCAACTTCTCGAGGGAAAAAAAAGATCTTGCAAAGTTGGAATTGATTGATTGAACTTTTTAGTCCCACCCAGTCTGCCGTTACCACTGCAGCCACGCCCACCCAATGGGCCACGCCCACCCAGCACTGAACGATGCATAAGTGGGTTTGGGGGTTGCAGTTTGGGCACTCAGTCTCTAAAAGGTTCGCCATCACTGAGCTATGCCCTCCTTAGCCCAAATCAGCATCAGCCCTTGGGACAACAACACCCTTGTCGCATCATGCACCGATGGCTTTTCTGCAAGAAGTTGCCCTAATGCAAAAAGAAAAGGACTTTGCAATGAAACAGGGAAAAGGGCAACAAGAAGATCGTTGTCTGTTGAACAAACACGCACCCACAATTTTGCAGGATCCAATCTGAGCCGGTCACCTGGGCCAGAGGTTTTGTCTTCCGAGTTTCCAGACTCGAACTGGAGCCCTATCCTCAGGGACCTTCCCTCTCAGCGGAGTGTAGCGTTCTGCTCTCGGTGACCGACACAGATGGAGCCCCGTAACGTTATTCTGGGACAACGTCTATTTGCCTTCGCACAAAATTTTCCATATAATAAATCTTTTGACATCAGAAAAGACACCAGCGTCATGGTTTTTCTTCTTTTATTCCCTAGGTTCTCCCTTGAAAGTCAGTTTCTCTCATTGTCAGCATCCCACCTTTGCCCACTTTCAGTATTTGCCTCTTTCTCCTTAGACAACGCCGCAAGCGAAGGAGTGCTGGCCAGCTTCTTCAATAGCCTCTTGAGTAAAAAAACAGGTTCCCCTGGGAGTCCCGGTGCAGGAGGAGGAGTGCAAAGCACCGGCAAGAAATCAGGTACCGTCCAAAAGAAGCCATTTTTCCTAATTTATTTGGGCCCATTGACGCGGAATACTTCGCAATCTGTGGTTTGAGTTCACTCGGGTTAAAAGAACGCCAGAACGCGGGTCTTACACCAGCCGTCTTTCCCCCCCCCTCTAAAAGGTTCGCCATCACTGTGTTAGTCCATGTTAACCGATCTGTGCTTGCGAGCTGCTTCTCAATTTATGTTGGGTTCACACTGAAAGCTCTACATAGCTTAAGCTCCGACTTTCTTAAGAGACCACTTCTCTCGATAGGAATGTCTGGAGAGGAAGCTCAGAAGAGCAGAAAGAATGTTTAAGGGCTGATTTCCTGCATACATATACTGTGTCTTCCTTTTTCTTTATAGGGCAAAAAACTGTTTTGACGAATGTCCAAGAAGAGCTGGATAGAATGACTCGCAAGCCAGACTCGGTAGTAACGGCCAACTCCTCCCCGACAGAGAACGAAGCTTGAGAATCCTTGAACCTCCATATGTAAATGACCAAATAGTGATGTACATTGACCCGATAACACCAGGAGCTTCCTACCGTGGCAGATGCTATCAGTTTTTTCTTGGGGGGAAATGAAATTTAACCTTCATTGGCTTGTCCCAGTGTCAAGTGCACATTCAGGAAGTTTTGCGTCTAAATTTCCTCTGTTTTACGATAACCATTTTAGAGTTTAAATAGGGCATTTCTCTTAATTTGGTTGCAAGCAATAGGGAGAAGAAGCGCACAGAAGCAAGAGGTGGAGTTGCTGCTGAAAAGCCACGAGCTGCTGCTGGCACGGAGGAAGCGCGAAGTCCTCTCTTGATCCAAGTCAACTGGAGTTGGCCATGAAAATGCGTAACTTGTGTTTGTAGAGGGTGCAGTGTGGCAGAATGTTGGTTGGCTGATGAGTGTACAAAATGCAGTGTTTTGAAAGGGTAGAGAAAAAGACCTGATCAATAGAAGTGAAAAAGCACGTTGGATGTAAATCAGATAATCATGTCGGGAAAAATAAAATAAAATAAATGCCTTTACAATTGGGAAACAGAAATCACGAGCATCATGGGAAACTATTCCAGTGGCAATTTTTTTTTTTCCAGTTCTAATGAGAAGATACATAAAATACGGTGGATGCTCTTTTTGTCATAACTGACACGGGGAGAAACTTGTTCAGACCAAGTGCCTGACACAGTGTGAGATGTGTCTTCTGGAAGGTGCTTGAACTTCTTGTGCACTATTGTACAAACAGTATCTGTTTAATTTTTTTTTTTTTTAGTTTTAACCCAGTAACTTTGATAGCTGGGTTGAATTTTGCATCCTTTCCCCCCCCCCCGCCCTTGATAACTTTTGCTTTCTTTTCTTTCTTTTTCATACCATCTGGTTAAGAGGAACGAGTGATATGTCATTTTTCTCCGTAATGAAATGGAAACGCAAATCTTTCTTTTGTATCCAAGATTTAATTGCAAAGGTCAACACTGATTTCTGCCTTAAGGTTTTAAAACCCCTGTGGTGAGTTTGAGGTAGCCTCCAGAATTCTTGTCCCAGATTGGATTAAACAAAAGGTTGTAGGTATTGTATGCAGGAAAAAAAAAATACAGACTTATGTGACTTCATTACATTTGTGCTTTACCCCTTCGGTGTTGCCTTTTCAATGTGGAAATAATTTTTGACAGTTGGCCCCCGTTGCTGCTCAGATCAGTTCCCATAGCCACTTGGAGTAAGACTCCCACAGTTAACCGAAATGGCACTTTTGAGTTTCTGTACAATTTATTTGACAGAGAAACACTAACTTATTTGTACCAAACTTGTTTGTAAGCAACACATTGGAGGGATATACCACCATATGGATTATGCAGTTTACTTTGTATTGATAAACGGTTTTTGTGTTACGTTAAATCTCGTTTCTGAATAGAACAACCCTAATATTTATATACCTATATCTATATATATTGTTATATATACAAAATAAATTGACCACTAACACATTACTGGATGTAATTGCAACCCACGTGTTGTAGAGAGAGGCCATTTCTCTTTGTTTTTGTAAGTCTGTCTAATGCTAGCTAGAAAACTAAGAGTATTTACTTGCATTAACATAAAAGTATGTTTACTTATGTCAGTTACATTTTTTTTAAACAACACACATTCAAATACATTATAAAACTCAGTTTTGCCGATTGTTACCTGGCTCTTAAACTGAGAAGCTGTGATCAGGGAATTTGGTTTGTGTTTTAGCTGCCATTACAAGCCAGCATAGGCTTTGCTATATTATAAAACTAGCCTTGTGCCACCCCAATAGTAGTAATTCAATCTTCCTTATGGCAGCACCTTTAAGTACATCCTATTTAGTAACTACAGTTTTGGTGCCATTTATACATGTAGAACCAGTGAACGTATTGAGATGGTTGGATTCATGCTTGGATCTAACAGATGAAGTGTAACAACTTTTTTTTTTTTTTTTTTGATGGGTTAGCCGTTCCCAAGATGATTATGGAAGCTGGATGATACAATTGAATTCTGGAAAATAAAACCTTAAAATCAAACTGGGGTATGGGGGAAAAACAACAAATTATTTGCTGATGTTCTAAGAGCACTAGCTAGGTCTCAAAGCCCAACTGGTTTTATTAAAATTTTTGTCATGCACCAAGATAATTTACTTAGTATATGAAAACTGTAGGCAACCGGATTTTTTATTTGCATAAAATGAATGTTGGATTTGCTAAACAAAAAGCCAATAGCATATTACTTCCCAGTTCTACAAAAGATCTTAGGGACTCAGAATTTGGAATGCTCCTCTCCCCAACCATACTCTCCCACTTTGCAAGTGAATGCTCCTCGTTTTTCAAAAGAAGGAGACTGTTAAGTGATGTAATGTTTGTCAGTTGCCAAAGTCTAGCAACTTTGGAAAGCTGCACCATTGTCTTTTCTGGTGTTCTCAAGAATTAGAACCAAAGGCCAAATGCAAAACAGCCTTTATGTTTAAAACTACCATTAACTTTATTTTCAAGATTCACTTTTGTGGAAGACTGTTAGAATTACTACATGACTATTTATATTGCATATAATAATTGCATCTGCTGTTCACATTTAAACTAAAGTAATAATATATTGGACTTGAAGATAAGGCAAATATAAATCAGTTAAGGATTGGCCCGCCATCAAAATTTTTGTTTTATGCTGCTTGATTTTTAAGTTTGCACTTCTATTGGCATTTTAAAACTCGTTTAAACCGAACTTGTACGTATTTTATTTAATTTAACACATTGAAAGTGATTGAACTTAACCATGCCCATGCTGTAAATGAAAGTTCACTCTCGTGTATTCAGTTTATTGATGTTTTTAACTTTTCAATGGAGACTGCAGATGTATCCAGCACAACCCTTAGTCCATTTGTATGGCTTTAACCAGGTGCAGTCCTGTGGAACCTTGCTTTCTAGTGCTGGCGAAAATGAGGACATGTCTTTAACGGCTTCAATAAACACCAACCAAGATGACTTACTTGTGTTGAGTCACCCTTGTTTTTTTTTGTTTGTTTTTTTGTTTTGGCAAGGTGGGCCATTTTGAAGGACGATAATTTGAAGCAAATGAAGTTTCGGACTCTAGATATAGAGATGTGTCTAGATTGACTAGCTTTTTCTTACGGCGGGTGAATTTTCTTAACCTTTTTGTTGCTGGGAACGTAGAAAGGACTTTAGCTAAGCAGCCGAACAACTGAGAAAATACCGTCTGAAATCCTAGAAAAGCAGAATCATTTGGCATACCAGGGAACGGCAGTATGTAGATGACATGAACCCCTATGACTGAAATTCTTCAGCCAAATGAATGACTAGTTTTCAGCCATGTGATTCCCCCCTTCCTCCCTAAGGATAGTAATGGCAGATTTTGAGGAAGGCAACAGGTTTCCACTAATACTCTTGCCCACCCCCCAAAAAAGTGCACAACTATTGTTGCTAGCTTTTTACTTTATGTCTTGGAGGTCTTGAAAATGAGAATGGTTAACTGTGTTCCATTTCCAACTTTTAGGATAGACCAAAAATGGGACAAGTCATGAAATTTCTTGACAAATTGCAAGCTGCAGGCCTACAATGTGCTGAACCTCGCTTGGTGAGCGATAGCTTCATGTACTTTTAAATGCAGAAAAAATCCTGTACTCCCTTTGATGGGCATCAGTGATTATTTGGGGATATTTTTCTAAATAAAATAAGTGTGACGTGCTGGTACATTGCATAGATCTTAAGGGACCCTCACGTTGTTAACTTCCAAACTTCCGTTTTCAAGCTCTATCCCAACAGAGTGATTCTACTAGGGATAGGATGGTTTAGATGTCCTGTTTGAAAGATACTGGAGGCTCAGACCTGGATACTGGATTAACTTCCTCAGTATTAGCTCTCTGCCTCCCAAGTTAGGTGTGCCAGACAATGTTTTTGAAAGATGACAAAGTCCTAAGACAGATTTATGAGTTTGTAGCTTTATTATTTGCTGATGTAATGGACAGATTTTTATGGTTCTATTAATGTTTTACTCCAATGCTGTAAGCTGCCAGAATTTAAAGAGTAGGCAGCATATAAATTTTGGTAAAGATCATGACTACACTCCCTAGAATAGCTATAAAGTCTTTAAACCTTTGAAAATAAGAATGGTAGGTATCTGTATGTAACCTGGTCCTTTTTTTTTTTTTTGACAGATTAGCATCCAAATAATTCCCATTTTGTCACTAGCCACCACTCACCAGAGGAGCCATTCTAAGTAGTCATATTTCCTTTCCCCGTATGAGGGGTCATTTGTAATATACAGTCAATATTCCAGGTACGCTTATTAATTGCAAGTTCCTCTTCTCATGTTCTCTGCAGAGTATTTTAAAGCAAGCTGTGAGGGAGAGAATCTGTTCAAAGAGGCTATGCATTTAAAGAGCAGCTCTATTTTAATCAAGGTATGGTAAAGAGAAGCCATCACATTCAATAGCAGCATAGGCCATCTGTTTACTGAGCAGCATTTCAAAATTTATTTCACTGCAGTGTTACAAATTCTTTTTCAAAAAAATAAAATTGGGTAGTTCAGTGTAGATTAATAAAACATACAGCGCCCTAGAATAGAAAGTCCAGCTCCAAAGAAAGAAAGGTAACATAGTTTTAATTGGTTTTTAGTGCTTTTTAAAATTTGGGTTTATTAGTAACTATTTTTTTTTGTTACTTAATTGTACGAGCTGCCAGAGTCACATTTGATTGTATAAATCAAATCAATAAAACCACAACTAATCTGGCCTGCTTTATTTGCCGAATTTAGGATGACTCTCATACTGTAATCAGTGTTTCTCAACCTTGACAATTTTAAGGTATGTGGACTTCAACTCCCAGAATTCCACAGCCAGCAATGCTGGCTGTGGAATTCTGGGAGTTGGAAGTCCACATGCCTTAAAATTGTCAAGGTTGAGAAACACTGTGCTTGTTCTGTGTATTTGGAGAAGTTTAGTACAGTACTGGCCCAATATTGTCATGCCACTGGGCAATACTTGGAACATCTCTTCATGTGCAATCAATTGAAGTCCACACATCTTGAAGTTGAGAGACACTGTTGCATTAGATCAGGGGTCTTCGAACGTGGCAACTTTAAGGCTTGTGGATTTCAACTCCTAGAATTCCTCAGCCAGCCAGTCTCTTATTGACGGAGCTGCTTCATGCTACTTTGGGGCACAGCTTGCAAGGTGCTGTGATTTAAACTGAAAGCAAAAGGTAACAAAACCATCGTCATCCAGTTTCTAAGACAGAAGATACGAAATCTAACAGCGAAATTGATACTGAATGTTGAGCCTGCTAAAATGCACTCTCGGTTAAGAGATGTTAAATTGCAAATTGAATCAAAGGACTTTTAAAAAAAATCATTACCATGGAAAGGTAGTAAGAAAGAAAAACTAATCCAGTTTCTTAGCAGAAAAAGTGCCACACGTGAACTGCTTCACGGAAAGGGCCAAACCAGGTGGCTTTCAAGCCACAATGAGATAAGAGGTGGAAACAGTTCCTCAAATAGCGTTTCACCTTGATTTTCTCTATGTTTACTGTATTCTGAACTGATGACACTAGGCTGAATGAGCTAATTGTATTACAGCTTTATCTTCCTTCTAGCTTCCAACAGTCATTTGTAGTTTCTCTTTGTGGTGATTAAAAGCTTAAAAGATCTTTATAAGACGCCTCCCATGTGAATACAATCCCATTTCTCTTAAGTTTTGGCCCCAGCATGCAGAATGAATAGATCTATTCAGTTTCATTGATGCAAAACAAACCCCCCCCCAGCTTGTAATCTTGTCTCAGAAATACAAGAAATTTTTTTGAAATTTTCTTTTGGGGGGGGTGTTTAAATTGTTACCCCTTTTTCCCTTTTATGTTAGTTTGTATTTTAATGTTTGACCATGAAATCTAATAAAGATGTTATGAAAATATAGGAAGCTGTTTTTGCAATAATTTTATTAAGGATATTACAAAAATATTATTTAAAAATCTAATGCAGAAATACATCAAGCTATGTATGTATGTATGTACATAAAAAAAATAAAAGTGCAGAAATCCCCCCCAAACAATTTTAATTAATGTAAGGGTTTGAGGCCTTTTTCAATATTATATTAAACGCTTTGTCTTGCTTTTTTTTCTTTGAAAGCACTTTAAGTGGTTTAACATAATTAAAAGCAGAATTATGGCCATTAAAAGTGAGCAGTGAAATTTCTTCTGCAATTTAATACAAATGGCCTTAATGAATGTTGAAGGAGCAGAAAAAAGAGCTAGGGAAGTTTTCTTTAAATTGTTCATTTTTTACAATCCCTGCGTAGTGATAGCTTTTACCTCAGCCTCACATCACTTAACTTGATTTCATCTTATTTCAACATCCAGCTGCAAGAGCTATTTTTGTAGATTTTCTCATCGCCTTGTTACAACATTATTATGTACGGATTCTGAAACCCACATTTCAAGGCTGAAAGTACTTTGAAAATACCTTGACCTAATACTCTGTTCTAATAAGTTTAATTTATTCCTTTGTTTTTAAAGTGGGTATCACTTCTTTCTCCCCAAAATTACAAAGATGTAACACAGGCTCTTGATTTGAATGGAGGGAATTAGAAAGCTTGGCTTGCCAAAAATATCTTGCTTTAAAGGAAAAACAAAGTTATTTTACTAGCAGTCCATGCCTCTTATATTCTTATTTAAACTTTTGCTGGAGGAAAAAAAGTGAAATATATCTAAGAACAGAATAGTGAATGTGACATCGATCATGGTAGTTGACAAGGAGAATAAGTTAGGGGTCTTCATTCTTGGCAACTTTAAGACTTGTGGACTTAAGCTCCCAGAATTCCCCAGCCCCAGCACGGTTGGCTGAGGAATTCTGGGAGTTGAAGTCCCCAAGACCCCTGGAATAGGTTGCTAAGAGGCAAGGACTTGACACACAATCTATTATTACTACTAGTTCAGAACAAGGTGAAGTCAGCTGCCAGTTCTTTCTAAGCTGATGTAGGCCTTCAAATGCATCAAGTTCTTCCCAAGCACCTAAGATGTCATATTAGAGTAGTATATGTGCAAATCTAAGCTGTGTGGTCTTTTACAGTTGACAGATAGGAATGTTGTCAATTCCCTGATGTTCTAAGTGCCGTCCAAAATTTTTTGGTGTGGCTCCCAGTGTGCTGGTACAATTTATGCCATAATCCTTCAGTGTCTATTTTCGGATCTTGAAATTTTTTGGTCTCCTCCAGTTCTTGGGCTTCTATTCTACTATCCCCTGGCATTGCCACATCAATTAAACACACTTCCTTCTTTTCAACCACATTTATATCTGGTGCATTATCAGCCAAGCCTTTTTTCAGTTTGTATTTGGAAATCCCACAATGTTTTAACTTGCTCATATTAGGTCATAATGGCACAATTTTGAAACACAGTGTTCTTTTGTCTGTGGTTGTTCTTCCAGTTAATTCTACAGGGCTAGGGTTTTTCCATTTTCTCACCCTATTAAAATGGGGTGATGGATACAGATAGTCCTCAACTTACAACTTACCATTGGTTTAGTGAACAAAGAAAGCAGGGGTGTCAAACTGCTGGCCCGTGGGCTGGTTGCATCATACGGAAACCGCATCCACCCCAGTTCCAGCAATGCAAAAAACGTCGTAATACGTTGTGACACGTCACGTGACGTGGCAAGTTTGACACCTAGGATATAAAGTTACAAAGGCACTAAAGTACAACAGTTACAGCATCCCCATGCTCATGTGATCAACATGCAGATGCTTGGCAAACAAGTGTTCATTTATAATGGTTGCAATGTCCTAGGTTCATTTGCAACCTTCCCAGCCAGCTTATGACCAGCCAAGTCAGTGGGGGAAGATGGATTCACTTAAAGCAGTGATTCTCAACCTTTCTAATGCCGTGACCCCATAATACAGTTCTCCATGTTGTGGTGACCCCCAAGTGGGTGTGGCCACCAATAAGAGGGAGTAGGACAGCTAGGGAAAAGGGAAAAAAATGGCGGACAGCATGGTTTGGCGACCCCCGTAAAATGGTCATTCGACCCCAAATGGGGTCCCGACCCACAGGTTGAGAACCACTGACTTAAAGGATCAAATTGATTCATTTTATTGCGATGATTCAGTTAATGGTGGCAAGACGGTAGTAAAATTGGCCATGGCTCAACGCCCGAAACGGTGATCCTGAATTGTAGTCAGGATTAGCTTTACATTTAGTCTGGCTCTTTCCCTAAGACCAGCCTGACATGGGTGACTCTTCTGGGGGGTACATTATGGCCAGCATAGCTCACAGCCTTGGGAACCCCTCTCCACGACATTGAGGGGCTATTATCGTATCACACTTATTATTGGAGGAAATCTCTGTGTCGCTAAGAGTGGACTACTTGATGGCCCATAATCCATGATTAGGGTCCACCTACGATAATATTAAATAACATTTGGTCTAGCACGGGGGTAGGCAACCTTGGCTCTTTTATGACTCGTGGACTTCAACTCCCAGAATTCCTGAGCCAGTTGGCTCAGGAATTCTGGGAGTTGAAGTCCACGAGTCATAAAAGAGCCAAGGTTGCCTATCCCTGGTCTAGCAGTTAAGGCACCAGACTAGGAAGCAAGAGACTGCAAGTTCAAGTCCTGCCTTAGGGACGAAGCCAGCTGGGAGGCCTTGGGCCAGTCATGCTCTCTCAGCCCAACCTTGCAGGGTTGTGGTTGCAGTGGGGAAAAAAAACAGGAATAGGAAGGCGCGTTGGAGGTGCTCTCCGCCCTGAGTTGCTTGTCAAAATAATAAAGAGGCGGGATACAAATTTAAAAAAGTAAAATCAAAACAAAGATGAAACTCATCACCGACGACGCTTCCGGGGTCCAGGTCTGCCCACCGCTGCAACCGGCGCCCCCCCCAACAGGGAGGCGCCCCTTCCCCTTGGGGACCCCCGCTCTACCTGTGGAAGGGCGGCGCCCTCCCTCTCCCTCCCCCCCGCCCCTGCAGAGCCCCCAGGCGGGCGGGGGGTCCGGGTGGGCCGCAGGGCGGCCTCCTCGCGCCGCTCCTTCCCGCCGAGCGGGAGGAGCCACGGGCGGGCGGGCGCGCGAGCGAGGCGGGGCCGCGGCCGCGGGGCGGGACCGGGGACGAGGCCGGGGCGGTCCGCCGCGCTCCGCGGACCGACATGCCGCCGTCGCCGCTGCCGCCCGTTGCGCCGCGCTCCTGCTGCTCCGCGGTGGCGCCGCCGCCGCCGCCGCCGCCCTCCTCCTGCTCCGCGTGAGGCGAGGCCCCCGGGCCGCGGCCTCCCCCCCCCACCCCGGCTCGCCATGAGGAGCCCCGAGGACCTGGAGGGCTTCGACGGCGAGGCGTCGAGCACCTCCATGATCTCCGGCGCCAGCAGCCCCTACCAGCCCACCACCGAGCCCGTCAGCCAGCGCCACGGGCTGCGCGGCCTCCGCTGCGACCGCGACTACCTGCGCGGCCCCGTCGGCCGCCTGAAGATCGCCCAGGTGGTGGGTATGCCCCCCTGCCCCGGCCAGACCCCCTGCCCTGCCCTGCCCGGCCAGGGGAGATGGGCCTCCGGGGTCCCAGACAGGGTGGGGGGGGTCGGGGTTGGGGTCTTCCTCTCCCCACTCTCCCCCTCCCCCTCCTTGCCCCCTCCCCAAGAACCACTGCGGGGCGACTTCCAGATGTTGCTTCAACCTTTTGTGCTCCTGCTCTGTTTACCTTATTTTTCGAGGGAACATCTGGAGCCTGCCAGCCCCTGGGGAGGGGGAACTGTTGGTGTGTGTGTGTGTGTGTGGAGGGTGGTGAGGATGGGTGCTGGGGTCCCAGGCATCTGGAGGGCACCTGGTTGGGGAAAGACCCCTGGACTCTTCCCCTTTGCTGGCTTTCCCTTTGGTGCCCCCTTCCCCCCCCCCAAAGGTTATGGAATAGCCTTGAAGGCTCCAGATGTCTGGTTAACCAGCCCTGTTGGGCTCCTTGCAACAGATGGAAGGAAAGGTGTGGGGACATCTCAGGACATCCTGAAGAGTTAAAAACCCCCCCCATTTCTGATGACCCAGGGGGTGGGTTGCTGGGCCCTTTTAGCTTGGTGGCATGGGTGTTACCCTTCATTGTTTGGCAGAGATATGCACTAACTATGTTTGCACCGAAGGGTTGTGTTTATGTTCCCTATCCTTGTAGCATGAGTAGCCCCTGGTGTATTTTTGAAGTGTGCGTGATGGGAATTGTTGCCCAGTGCTACGGGAGGGTTATTACGTTGGATAAGACTCTTCTAAATACTCCAAAAATTAACCCATGTAGAAAATACAATCCATGCATTTTCACCTAATAGTTTTTTTTTGTAATATTTTTGTGTTTATTTGTATTTGGGTGAGTGTGTCAGTCTGAGGACGATAAAAGTGTGATAATCTATAAAAGCTTCCGCCACAAATCTGTGGAATTACAAGGGTTCTTTTGTTGGTTGTGTCCAAGCTTGTGGGACTGGGGGAATTCATATTCCATTTGGAAATCTTTGGAATGGGATAAAAAGGATTATGCGCTGTACTGTATAGCATATTACTTTTCTTTTTCTGCTTCTCTCCTTTTGAGCAACTACTTTAAGGTTATGGAAAGAGAAAGGAAAACTTTTATTGAAATAATTTTCTTTTCTTTGTTCCTCATTCCTGAAATTTCACCAGCATTTCTTTTCAGTTTTGGTTCTGCTTGATTAGGGAGCAGCTTGGCAACAGGTGACATTCCAGAAGGTTATTTACATTTATCCAGTTTTGCAAGGTCATTCTTTGTAACTAAAGGGGAAAATAGGAGATAAGATGTCCTCTTTTGTTCTCTTATCTCTTCCCCTCAAGGTGTGTTCTAGAATGTAGAAAGTGTTTGCAATGCCTTTTCTTGTTTTAGCTGCTAGGCCTACTTATGCTTTTGTTTCTGTAGCACTGCAACACTGACATGTGGGTCTTTTGGTCTCTGTGACTGTTTCATTTGAAATGAAAATATGTAAAACTGGAAATGCATAGAAGATGTGGTTTCTACTGTGTTAGAGAAATACGAGCAATTGGTTATCATTTGTTTTTGTCTGTCTCATGTTGCTCAGATGTCTCCAAGTGGGATATAAAACTTCTAGTATTTAGAAGTTTTATTTCCCATTTGGTCAATAAAATTCCTCAAAACAGTTTTAGACAGTTGATGGAAAACTTACACTAGAGCTGCTGAAGTATCACAGCAAAATGCAAAAACAATAAAAACAGATCTAAAATTAAAAATATTTCCAAAACTCCAGTGAGAGAAAGTGTTGACTGTTGGCCCCTTGGCAACATTAAGGCCTGTGGACTTCAACTCTCAGAATGTCATTAGTGTGTATTGAAAAATCCTTGTTCCGTAGCCCAATACATCTGGCATTGAAATTTAAGGAATAGTGGCTTCCAGTGATTTTATAATGGAAATAATGGGGAAAGACTTTCAGTTTCTCTTTTCCGCAGTTCAGCTGATGGAGTGGAGGAGGTGTTGAACTTGATATACTACTGTTATCTTCCAAATAATATATACAGATAGTCCTTGACTTACAACAGTTCATGTAGTGACTATTCAAAGTTACAAAGGCACTGAAAACATTGACTTATGACCATTTTTCCCACTTACGACTGTTGTAGCATCCCTGGGGTCAGGTGATCAAAATTCAAATGCTTGGCCACAGGCATGTATTTACAACAGTCAATGCGAATGGCAGAGTTAACAACCATGTTACTAACTTAACAACCACAGTGATTCACTTAGCAGCTGTGGTAAGAAAGCTCATAAAAGGGGGCAAAATTCACTTAACAACTGTCTTGCTAAGCAACAGAAATTTTGGGCTCAGTTGTGGATATAAGTCAAGGACTACCTATAGGTCAGTGAGAACAGCAGCAATATGTTTACCAAGCCACAAAGTGATTTATTATAAATTAGTTTGGATAGTTTAAGGCAGTGGTGGCGAACCTATGGCACGTGTGCCAGAGGCGGCACTCAGAGCCCTTTCTATGGGCACGTATGCCGTGCCCCAGAGATGGTGAGGGACTGGCCCCCGCCACCCTGGCTCCGCCCACCCAGTCTGCCATGACCACCGCAGCCACGCCCACCCGCACCCGGTGATAAATAAATGGGTTTTGGGTTGCAGTTTGGGCACTGGGTCTCTAAAAGATTCGCCATCACTGGTTTTAGGTGTGGCCACAGAAATAGCTACCACCATAGACTATTAAACATGAAAAGTTTCTGATGGGGCACTATATGTTGAATGTACTGTAATGTTGATTTTTTTCCTGCATTGACTGCTAGTTTGTTAATATCTTAATAGCTTTAATTTTTCATCTGAGATTTGTATCTTAATAGCTTTGACATATACCCCCATCATACATCTCTTGCCCACGGCCAAATTGGGGAAAGGAAAATGGATGATTTTGGTCTGACTGTAGCTTGTGTTGTGTTTGTAGCTTAGATGCCATTGTTCTTACCTCTGTGTTGGAACACTGCAGTGCTGATGTCGTAGTTAAGTGTTTTTGATGGCATTTCAAGAATAGAGATATACATCTCAGGGACACAAAATTTTGGTTTACTACAATCGAATCATTATTTAACATTGTGTGCATAAACAGTTGTGACTTGGCCTTCCATGTTCCAGTCTTGTTTTGTACTCCTTAATTGGAATACTGTAATGGTAGCAGCAAATCATAGTTTGGGCTTCAGTTCAGTGTGCACAAATGAGCATTTGCTGCCTTAAGACAAAACTTTTTTCCTGTTAATCTGAATTAGAAGTTTCCGGCAGCATTTTTTAATTAACAAGAATGCAAACTTGATGTTCCCATTTGCTCATGTCAGGATGACCTAAATATACAGGATGCTTATTTTATGGATTTAACTAGAGAACTTTTAAGGGTGCATTTTCCAGGGCCAGCTTTATGAACTTGGAAAAATATCTGGGTGATTGGTAGAACTTGTCCAGCCTGAGAAAGGTAGCTGGTATGTTTATACTGGAAAGAACTACATTCATGTAGTCATTTCTTTCTATTTCTGTTCTAAGAATGCAACAAAATCTCATATGTGGAAAATAACTCATACCACACTGGCTACTGGAACTAGATTTTTGTTGTGGTTTAACAAGAAGACATTGTTGCATGGCATTCAAGTAAATATATCACCCCTGATACATGCAGTTCTGTTTTTATTTGAATTCACTGATCACAAGATGATAAAAATCCACATTTTGGTATTCCTTAGCCCCTTGATTTATTGGTTTGAACATTTAAAAAATGCAAGTTTGCAGTCATTTCAAAACAATTTGAGGTTTATTATCTGATTGGAAGAGCTGTCATGTATAACTATAATCGGACATTTAAGATTTGTCCTTTGTTTTCTATGTGTTTTGTTTAAACTCAAGACCACTATTTTAAAAAAATCAAGCAAAATGCAAGATGAACATAATTCAAAATTAGTGTTTATGTATTACTGCACTTTAAAGTCACATTTATTGAGATGTTATTATGAGATCAAAAGGAAAGCACAATTATTTTCAGTAATTAGATTTTATGAGCAACTAATACAAGAGCAATTGTTACACTAATTGTCTTTTATGCCAGCAGGATAAAGAATTTGGAAACTATAAAATGCAGACTCTATGGCTGCTTTTTAAAAACATTTTAAAATTTTGGAGCTCCTAATGTTTTGCAATTAACTATATTACAACAAATGTTTTTATTTATTGTCTCGATGCTCAAGTTAGCTTATCTAAGCTAAATTGCACCTTTTAGCTGAATTAGTTATAGAACTTCAATTCTGTACAGTCAACTTGATATTAACTTTTTTTTCAGGGACAAAAAAAGGTTGCTGCTTACAACAAGACACAGTAAGATATAAGAATTGTACACTGATATTTCAGTTACAATGTATTGCTGTTGTGTTTGGAGAAAGGTTATGTTTTCTGCGTAACTTTTTGTTCTCCAGATTCATTTGTAGTTTTCTGCATAATTGCAAATAGCAATTTTATCTCCCAGTTCACTGTGGTGTAATGGGCTCTTTTGGAACATATTTACTTGAGGCCCCCCCACCCCTCTGTGACTATATGGTGGTACAATATATAGATGGTGGTATTGCACTTCAGGGTGCTTGGTGACACATTATTGGCAAGCGGTTTAAACACAGTGTGGGAAGCTTTGGCGTTTTAGGGAACGCGAAATGTTTTTTTAAAATTCAGACAGTGGAAAATTTGTTCTTTTGGGGCATAATTTGAAACACATTTGTGTGGCTTTGTTTCGACCAAGGTAATTTTTTTGAAATGTTCTATAAAAAAAAACTTGTTGGAATTAGCAACCAGAATACTTCAGGAATTTTAGGTCCTTGTTGGTATCATTCTGTTACTATAAGTTCCTTCAAGCAAGTTGTATTCTATACAGTAGATGATGGCGATAAATGCCTGTTTTGAACAGATTATTTGGAAGAAAAAGACTAGGTAGGCCTCGACTTATTGCCACAACTGAACCCAAAA